AGTGCTGCTATTGGAATATTTTGTGGGCGTTGACTGCTGACCGTCATATGCCGCGTTAATTACCCACTCGGAAGGCAAAGTCTGGACTTGGGGCAATAATTTTATGAAGCATACATAAGTGGTAGGCCGTAGTAGAATGGGTGAGCATAAACGTTAAAATTCTTGTTGCTTTTTCTTTATTTTCGTTCTTCTACTTTTGTTCCACGGAAAATGAGTTGATTGTGTTTTTCAGTTATCAGATGATAGGCCCCTACACATGCCAAGAGATAAAATAAAATGACTGACATGAGCGTTTTGCTGATGTATGGTATGTAGATAACTCTGATGATGTGTGCGTGTGTGGGAACGTTAATTAATGATAGCTGACAGGCCTAGATACTCGTGAATATACAGCGGTTATATCTACAAAACAATGGAGAACTTATTTCTAAATCAAAATATTGCAAGCGCATGTCATAAGAATGTGTGGATAAATTCTGCCGAACCTCTAATGAGAGCCGCTACGAGACAAAAACTATGGATTCTATCGATTTTCTATGCTTTTCAAATCACATATGTATTTGTAAGAGATAGAAGGTGTACATAGTATGTACTTATGTATAGTAGATGCTAAGCTACTGCTAAAATCGTATCGGGCATTCCACAAAGCTGGACAAATGGCACAAAAAAAAATGAAATTTGATATATTTTGAAAATAAATAAATGATTTGTAAATTGTTTTGCATTTTTTCTTCGTAACAGATTAACTCGTCATTCCAAATTTAAAGAAAATAAAATAAGAAAAGTAAATTGAGGATTTAAATATAAAAAATATTATTTGTGTGATTAATAACTAACAAAGCGATAGTAATACTTATTTGTTTTCTTGGCCTAACAAATCAGACAACAGCATTAGAGAGAACAGAGAAATAAAGAAGCCAAATTGTAACTCCTTTTAAATTAAATGAATATTAATACTTTGTACCACTGTGATAGTCCTCGCAGTAATGCTTAATGAACAAAGAAGTCTGCGATAAGCCTCAAAAAATTAACCAATAACTTCCATATACAAGTATGTATGTATGTCAACGATTGGTGCTTTTGTTCTATTTGACGTTTCCCTATACGACGAACAATATATATTCCATATATATTTGAACAGCAAATGTTTATATAATTTACTGTATGGTAGTCCGAGTGAACATTTTGAAGGCATTGTTGATTTATTGGTTGAAGAACAACGATAATGCAAATACAAGTACGTATCATATAAAAATATGGCTATCAGAATCGGTAAATTCCGAACTATCGGTACATTAATATCAATATTTTTACTCTACATATTGGAACACCATAAAATCATATTTCCCGCTCTAAGCTGATTCAGATGAGATCGCCTTTTAAAACTTCTAGACAAACGACGATGTTTAAACAATTTCAAAGCTATTGACATGTGATTGGGATGCATTAAAGGCAGCATACATGCAATATTGTATAAACGTATGTATGTATATGTATGTAAAACGTAGATGCATGTTATGGGGGCAACGCCTGTGTGTCCATCAAAATGTAAGTTTCAATTAGACTAATTTAAAGCTAATAAAAGAAGATCTAAAACACCTTACAACGCCCCTGTTTGACACGCAAAGTGCATTTGGCGGCTTCACTAATGTGTGCCCGATGAACCGTTTATTGGCGTCTAGGGGAATGGGAAATGGGGCGTGCATTGATGGCACTTGAACTTTGGGGCACACCCAGCCAAGAAATGGGCAAAAGGGAAGCACTACTATGTAGTTGCTTTATTTTTCTAGCCAAGTGCATGTCAGAGCCAATGGGACAAGACAATAAGCAAAACTTGTCAGACAGCAAAAAGAAGCAGAGCAGAGAAGCAGAATGAAAGAAGAGCAGCAAACAGTTGAGTGCATTCGCCATCGAATAGACTAGTAGGGATGTAAAAAAACATCGATGCACCAAAACATCGGCCATTGATGAATTTCCTAAAACGATGCATTAATCTTCGCAATTCGTTGTGCTTGCTTCAGTGCGATTAGAAAACTAAAATTGATTCTGAAGCCTGCAGTGGAGCAATTAATTTTTTTCACCATCACCAGCTACTTATAAGCCCACCAAAGATACAAATGAAATGGGAGTCTAGTTCAGAAAATGTACAGAAAATTTACGCCAGTCTGTCAGTTTCTAGGGTTTTAGATAAGTGGTTATATGTGTTGTTGCGAAGTTTGTACCGGTTCTGTTCACATCATATTTATGTAAAAAAAAAGGTAAGGATATATAGGCTTCAGTGCACCGGATAACTTTATTTGAAATCGATATTATGTCTACCAGCAAATGGATGCATCGATATACTTCGACAGCGATGTTTTACATCCCTAGAATAGACCTAGAAGAAGGACTAGACCAAGCGAACAACCAACCCCCTTTCATTTCGTGTAAGCATGTTTTTTGATTATGTTATAAAATGTTTGTTTGGCAGCACGCCAATGGCACAAATCTTGGGGTTGTTCTTTTTTAGCTGCCACTGAACTGGCTATATTTTTTTAAGAAGCAAGGAAAACGGCAACACAAATGTAAACAGAGCGGCAAACGTAGCAAAAGAAAAGGTGAGAGCGGAAATGCGATGCGTGCGTGTCTCTTTTGGTCGCATTGTTGCGGTCAGTGTCAGGGCTGTCATAAAGGTATTGTTGTTGTTGTTATTGGTGGTGGTGCTGGGTGAGGCGCAGGTATGAGTAATGCGAACGCTTGATTGAATGATAAACGGGTCGTTGTACATACATACATATATGTACATACATATGTATGTGTAATATACATACATACATATGTACATTCATATAATATGTGTCACCACCACTCGAAAAGAAGTGTATATCGATTTTTCAAGTTTGCATAAAATGGAAGGAAGGAAACCAAAGAAAGAAACTCATAGAGGCATATACCAATTAGAAGATTTTTAAGCCAAAAATGAAGATTGCGATAAACGCAACAGCAACAAAGATTTTTGCATGTATTTTTTATTAGCATGTGCCGTAGTAGCAGACGCAGATAGAGGGAGAGAGAGAGAGAGAGAGCAGAACAGATAGCGAGAAGAGCTCGCCTGGAAGCTGCGCTGCTTTGCTTTGATTAGCCGGCTGTGGGCCATCAGCCTGTCAAATGCTATGAGTAAGCCACATGGACACACACATCCAAGCAATTTGTATGTGTGCGAGTGTGTGTGTGTGTGGGGGGGGGGAGGGCTTGAATGGGGCATGAGGTATGACACAGTTCTTTTCGTTTATTCTTGTCGAGCAAATAAGAGTTTATAAACAAATTATGTAGCTGTTTACTCAACACTGTGTACGCATACATATGCCAACAACAAAAAGGTAACGGCTGGCGCAAACCATTTAAGACATAAAGCAGGAACAAAAACACAAATTTTGGCCTAACATTTGCACTTTTAGTGTTTTATTAGAGTTGCTTTTGCATTTTTCTCGAACACGTTGCGGTTTTTGGCATTTTGTATTCAGCATGACGTATTTTCTTCACACCAATAATTTCTTTTACACTAATTTTTTAGCCACATACACTTACACACACACACTACATGCACACTCTCTTGGCACTGCTCTCAGCAAACTGACTCACAAGGAGCAGAGGTAAGGGCAAGGAATTGTTGTTGCGCTGCGATGCACTTTGAGAGAGGGAGAGAAAAAGAGAGCGAGAGCCGGCAGAGCGCGCATGGGCACAGGTTTGTAGAGGCCGGGTTTTGAAGTGTAGGACGCAGGCAGGGTGAGGACTCAGTCGGCGTCGTTGTGGTTGTAGTTTCCACGGTTTTCCTTTTGGCTTTTCTTGAACACTTTTTTCTTGTTTTGCCGTTTGCGCTGCACCTCTTATGTTAATTTTCACAATGCACTGTTACATGTGCAGAGACGTTGTATATAAGAAAACTTTTTTATGCACTTATGCCGTTTGTTAAATTTCTTCGTTCGTTCTGTATTTGCATTTTGTTTGTCAATATTTGTGCAATGCGCTCACGCGAACACCAACAAATAAGAAATAATAATTTATACCAATTTAGTGAGCGTTCGCTACTTTTGTTGTTATTTATTGCGCTTGTTGCACTATCCCTGTACATTGCATTTTTACACGCATTACGCTTTAACTTCAGTTACACGTTTTACATTATTCTGGTAATTTTATCGTACAACAATGGAGTTGTTGTTTTTGCTGTTGCATTCATGCACTACTTCTACTTCTTGAAACCGTTACACTTGTGCAATTTACCAAAAAGAATAGCAGCAGCGGCGACGGCGGCAGAGGCGCACGATTTAATGACCCGACTGCACAGAGCACATACACTATAATACACAAACACACACTCACACACGTGCAACGGGCGACAACAACAGACGATTCACGTGCGAAATTCAATTCTTCCGAAATCCAATGAGAGCGCGGCAACGAATAAACACCAACTGCGGCAACCCAAACAGTGTTACCATAATTAGGAGCGAATGCGTAACATATGTTCATATTCAAATAAACAGGGTTGTAATGAAAAGTAGTAGATTTTTTATCTGTTACTGTTGTGATAGTGTTGAGTAATTACCGCTAAATTCAAACATAAAAGACCATTAGAGAGATAAGATTCCATTTTACAAGCTTATATGCGATTTAATATTATAATTTATAATTAGTTATGGCTAATTTTTGAACATAAACAAAAACAATTCGATTAATTTGTTAAAATATAAATTTATATATCTGAAATATTGCTTACCTATTTATGTCACAATTGTGTATTTTTATGGAAATGACTTAATTTTAAATTTCAAAAATAAAATTGAAGTACATACAGAAATTTAAGATATTTTCTACAATTTCAAAAACTTAGTTTTATGTTATCACAAATGTTTATCGCATGTCTAATAAAAGACTCAAGGCATTTTAAATTAGGCGCCAACTGTATAATGTAGTTGGTATCGAAATTTTGATTTCTGTTCCCACTCTGTAGTCCGGCATCCTCGCATGCCATAAGAAAACAAAGTAAAATGAGAACGAAGAATAACACTTACTTTAACTATATTTTTAAACGTACCCTGGCCTTACCAACTAAGTGAAAGTGACAAACAATTCCACTGAAAACTATCTGCACCGGATCCTCAAACATAAATAGGCAATGAATAACAAAAACAGCTGTCCGATCTGGAGACATAAACATGACTCATCGTGGCGTCAAAGACAACAATAAATACGCGGTAAACGCTTTTGTTGTGGCCCGATTCTACATTTAAAGCATTCCAGTGTAGGCAGCGGTAAGTGATGGTCGCTGGCGCGCACTATTTACGATAATTAAACATACTTTTCAACTACGCAGAAGACAAATATACGCCCACAAACACCAAACAACCAGTGTCAATATGTTCGATTTCAATTTGGAATGTGCTCGAGGTGGCGCAAATTTCACCACGGATCTTTTCACACGGCTGGCCGCAGGCGGTCTTACTAACAACATCGTCTTCTCACCCTTCTCCATACAGACGTGCGTGGCATTGGCATTTGCCGGCGCTCAGGGAGAGACTGCCGATGAGATTGCCAAGGCCTTGCACTATGTGTCCAACTTTCCCCCCGAGGTGGCCGAAACTTTCCAATTTGTGCTGGAAAAGTACAGGAACAGCGACCTATTAAAGATAGCCAACAAGCTGTATGTGCAGCAGGGTAAGGAGCTGAAGGCAGACTATAGTGCTGCCATCAAGGAGCACTATAATTCTGAAGCAGAGTCCATAAATTTTGCCGCAAATGAGGAGGCAGCCCAGTCTATCAATAGTTGGGTCAATGCGAAAACTAATGGAAAAATAAGCGAACTCGTATCGGCCTCTAATTTCAATGAGCTTACGCGCATCGTTTTGCTGAATGCAATCCACTTCAAGGGCAGTTGGGTGCACAAATTCGATGAGGCAAGTACCGCGGAGGATGACTTCTGGGTGGGCGAGGAACAGTCAGTAAAGGTGCAGTATATGAATCAGAAGGCCAAATTTGGCTACGGATACTTTGAGGAATTGGGCTGCACTGCCCTAGACATGCCTTATAAGGACTCCGATCTGTCCCTGCTTGCACTGTTGCCACAGGAACGCGAGGGACTGAAGGATCTTGCTGAGAAACTAAAGTCAATTAACCTAGTGGACTTGGCCGGCAAACTAAATGAGGAAGAGGTGCAGGTTAAATTCCCAAAATTCAAAATCGACTATTCCTTGGATTTGGGCGAAAAACTAAAACAGGTAGGTGCTTGCATAACACATACTTATAACTTTTATTGGCAAACGGCAGCTATCTGGCTTTAATTTTCGTTTAATCAATGGAATTTCTTTCAATAATTATTTATTGATGGCTTATCGCGAATACTTAGTTGGTCTATGTGGCAAATATTTTTAGACAGCAGATAAATGTTGCCAACTCCAGACTGGTTATATTTTTTAAAGATTGTGCATCAGCAAGTTAAATGCATTACCGAACTTTAGCTGTCCATATTATTAAGTGGCACACCTTTTCTATCTTATCTGTCTGTGTTGTACGTGAATGAGGTCATAACTACATATTTGTTTACTCTTCGTCATACTTCCAGCTTGGCATCAATAAAATGTTTACGGATGGCGCGGAATTCGATAATCTGTTGGAATCCCCCGAGGGCTTATCCGTTTCGAACGTCTTGCACAAGGCCACCATTGAGGTGAACGAGGAGGGAACCGAGGCCGCTGCAGCTACTGGCATTATAATGATGACACGAATGATGCTCCTCCCACTGCAGTTTGTAGCCGATCGCCCATTCTTTTATGTGATATGGAACAAGAGAAATATTCTGTTTGCGGGTGCCTTTGTTAATGCACCAACTGCTTAAGTGAATTCAAATTTTTATTTAATTGTCGTGCTGTAACGTATTTGATTTAATAAACGCACAACGACTAAATTTTCTATTGAACCCATCGTTGCGTTGTTGCAGCCCTGGTTTATCAGCTGACAGTTTATCGCGTTGATTATTGGGTTTAGGTGTTTTGTTAATACTCGCAGATTAAGTCAGTCATGGGCATTTAATTACGTATTCAATTTTATGTTTGGGGTAAATTGTGTATTACTCCAGCCCTGGCTTATCAGCTGCCAGGTGCTTATCGTCTTGAAAGTTGCTTTTAAATGAGTTGCGACGCTCTGCTGCTCGGCCTCATTTGTCATTCCATTTTGTAGTTTTAACTAGAAACAATACAAATAAAAATGTGCATATTTACTGACTTTTTGCTAAGTCCCTTAGTAGTTTGGCCTTTATTAATCAGCATTGCTGTTTACTTTATCAAGTGAGTATTGCGGAGTTGGGCAACCCTTTGCCCACAGCTGATTTTGCCGTTTTCGTTGTTGTTAGACTCCACAAGTGTGCAGTAAAGAGGAAGCATTAGTACCTGCATGTATCAATTATTTATTGAACTTAATTTATGTGGCGTGACTTAAATTAGCAAACACATCATGAGTGGCGGGCTATTCTCGTTTCTAAAGAGCCGGCCCATATTTTGGCTGAGTGTGGGCGGCACGACTGTCGGCGTCGCCTGTGGCGTAAAGTTGTTCATGAAAAGCTAAAAGTTGAGTGTACCTCTATCTTGTCTAATCTACAGGGATTTGATGCAAGGTGGAAAATTCAACAAGGAAACCGATGAAAAGGGCAAAGTTGTTATTGTTACCGGCTCCAATACGGGCATCGGCAAGGAAACTGTGCGGGAGGTGAGATAACATTTGTTTTTATTCTTATAAGTAGTATACATATGTATTGAATATTTTTTATGTAATGCCCAGCTGGCCAGGAGAGGTGCAACTGTTTATATGGCTTGCCGGGACATGAAGAAGTGCGAGGAGGTAAATGGTATTAATGGAACATAAAGCATAAAGCTGACCTATTTTTGTGCAGGCACGCGAAGAAATTGTGCTGGAAACGAAGAATAAATACGTCTACTGCCGTGAATGTGATTTGGCCTCGCTGGACTCAGTGCGCAAGTTTGTGGCAAGCTTCAAGCGCGAGCAGCAAAAACTGCACATACTCATCAACAATGCTGGAGTGATGCGCTGTCCTCGAAGCGTCACAAAGGATGGATTTGAATTGCAGTTGGGTGTGAACCATATGGGCCACTTTTTGCTTACCAACTTGCTGCTGGATGTGCTGAAAGGTTCCGCTCCTAGCCGCATTATTAACGTCTCCAGCCTGGCGCACACCCGCGGCGAAATCAATGTGGGCGACTTGAACAGCGAAAAGTCCTACAACGAGGGTGGAGCGTATAATCAAAGCAAATTGGCGAACATTCTGTTTACTAGGGAGCTGGCAAAACGCTTAGAGGGCACATCTGTGACTGTCAATGCTTTGCATCCCGGCGTCGTGGATACTGAAATCTTCCGCCACATGGGCTTCTTCAGCAACTTCTTTGCCAAGTAAAATCTGTTATGGTATCCTCGATTTTTCTTTAATGTAATCCTTTTTTAGTTTGATATTCCGTCCGCTCTTTTGGCCGTTCATAAAGACAGCAAAGAATGGCGCCCAAACGACTTTGTACGCAGCACTGGACCCGGACCTGGCGGAGACCACAGGAAAGTATTTCAGCGACTGTAATCTGAAGGACGTGGCAGCTGCTGCCACCGATGATCAAATGGCGAAGTGGTTGTGGGCAGTAAGCGAGAAATGGACGCGCCCGCAAATAATAAAACTGGATTAGAGTGCATTTCTACTTTGCAACAGGAAATTATAATTTTTTTTTACCTTTGTGACGCCTAAATATATTTCTTACTTCTGTTATATAAATTAGTAGCGTAAATACAGACATTCATAATATATTTATAGCTTTTTTTAAAGCGTGTAAGCTGCAGTAGCTGTTTAGTCGGATTTTTAGTAACCGCATGGATTAGAGTGACTTCTAGGGACACTAGATTTAGTATAAGGAAAGCTGAATTGCTTTTATAAGCAGCAACGATATAAAAGCATTCATTATACATCTTAGTTGCCTTTTTCAATTCGGCCAGCATCGATGAAGAGCCTGGAGCTGAGGGTATGTGTGGTCGGTTCCTTCTTTTCGGCCGTATTTGAGACGGTGTTCACATATGTGTACTGCATAAAGAAGCCCAGAGTGACGACATCGTTGACTTCCAGCTCCGCTGCCGGCGTAAACTGTAGCCTCAGCAGCACTTTGTTCCCCTTGCGCCAGACAATGAAGTTTGGTTCCTCTGTCTGCGCCTGCACTTCCTCATCAAATTCCTTGGAATCGTCGCGCTGATTTAGTACAAACTCGCTCTCTAGGAGCTTAATTTTAGCATTCGCCACGTCCCGCACCTCCCGAGTTACTTCTTTAGTTAGTGTTTGACGAGCTAATGCCGCCACCTTCATTAGTGGAGACGAAGTGACAGCTTCCTCCTTGATTTTGCACGTTGCCTGAAACTCATCGGGATTTATTTGCGGCTCCTCCGTCGGTTTCTCGTCCAAAATGCTGATGGTCATGTCATACATCGTTGGATTGGACAGTTTCAGAAGTATGGCATTGCTTTGTCCTGCCTCCAAAGGGTGCTCCAAGCGCACCATTACCACCTCGGGCACGTGATAGCTGGCGAACAACTGTATGCGATACTTTATGGATGTGGGATGATACTCCGGCTTGATTAGATTGTGCTCACATTGACGACAACGTAACGAACGCTTGATCCACAGTGACCGGCGTTGCGGATAGAGATTGCCAACAGCCGTGGGTTGATCAGCCGGCTGGCTATGTCTCTGAGCCACAGTCGTTATGTTACGCAGATTTATGGGCTGCGTAAAGATGTCCTGGGGTAAGTCCTCCAATTCGCTTATTGCCTCGGCAGGCGTAATGTTCAGTGGCTTTGTTTTGGGCACGTTTTTTTCCGACCATCCGATTTGGCGACGTATCAGCGATACCGTTAGGCCCGTGCGGTCCGTCAGGCTAGGAAACTTGTGCGCCTTGGGCGCTTTGCGTCGCTGAAACTCCTGCTTCTCTTGTTTCTCTTGAAGCACCACCGACTGATAATATTCCATTAGAGTGTTGAACCGAGCCTGATACAAACACTCATTATCCGGCCAGGTGCCCGTTGCCACGCCCTGATCCGGAATGCCAACGTCGCGAGTGGTCCAACGACACGACAGACAGGACAAATAGTACATTTTCTTCGTGGTTGGCACTGCAGAGGGCTTGCTACTGGCCGGAGGAGGAGTGGCTGCGCCAGCACTCTCACCGTCCTTGGGCTCCTCAGTTTTTCGCACCACTGGTACCGTGGTAGCTCGAGCAGATAGCGTATGGTGGCAGCAGGGACAATCGAAACAGTTGGCGCAACAGTTTTTCTTGTGACGCGCTTCCGAGGACGGTATATTCTCCAAACAATTGGAGCAAAAGTGCGATTCAACTTCGTGACTTACGCAGTAGCCGCATCTTAGCTTCGGGCAGTGGCGGCAGAAGAAGAGTTTGTTGATGGGGTTCACTATGCCGCAGGAGCACGCGTACTTAACAGGACTTGGTTGCATGAAGCTCATGATTCCGCTATCAAAGATTTCACACAGACGCCCTAAAGTTTGCAAATGACGACAGCTCAGCTGTAGGGATGTCGATAACAGACAAAGTACAATTCGATTTATTTAATCATTTGGTATTTTCGATTCCATCGTTTTACGAGACGATATTTGTTTTAATTTGTTAACCGTTTTTGAATATAAATATGCAAAACATAGTACCTCTCATACATAAATCCTAAATTAATTAATACACTGCTATATTTCTTTTTCACTTTTTTGCACTGAAGTATATATATTTTCGACAGTGACTTTGAATTACTCGTGACATATAAACAGGTACTTAATTGTAGTTCACCTCTCGTCTTGTAGTTGTTGCTTCGCGTTCGCGCTGTCATCATCGCTCTTTAACCATTGTGCCTGTCGTCGCGCACATTTGTATGTTTTCGCCTTTAGTTTGCTTAAAATTATCGAAAATTGCATAGCAATAATGCGTACTACTTAGTTATGCATTAAATAAGCGCAACAAGTGGCCAAATACAAATTTTACTGCATTTCAAGTGCCTTACAACACTAAACACACACACAAGTCTATTCTACCCAATCCCACACACACAGAGATACGCGCGCAATACTACAACAAGTTGAGCTGCTTTCGTCGTAGTTTGTGAGAGAGCATTCGAGGAGAATAATTACGCCGAAAATGTTGAATGTTAATTAATGCATAATTAAATTATATACCATCTGTGTGAGCATAAGAGTGTTAGTGTGAAATAGTTTGCAAAGTGTGAGCCGAGAAAGAAAAAATATCCCCAACGCGAGGATCAGTATCGTGTTATTTTAGAGAGCGTGCGAAAAAAGTATAAACAAGTGAATTTATAAATACAAAATTATTAATATAAACAAGTGCAATTAAGCAAATAAAACGACATATTGTTTTCTGTATTGAGCCCCGAAAGCAGGTAATTATTTCTCTCTCATTTGCCTGCGCACACCTATTCGCTTTGCTTTTATTAATAAGCCATTTCTTTCATGACATTGCCTTGCTTTGCATATTTAACGTCGAGTCTCATCGTCGTCGTCACTGTGTGTATTTTTTGCGCGTTTTCTCTGGCTTGTTGCAAAATATTTTCTTGTACATATTTATGAATTTCTTTCACTGCCACCGTTGGTTTTTTGCTCGCTGCCTTTACGCTCATTTATTGTTTTACCTTTCTACTTTGAACAGTCATCGCAGTTTGCACTTGTTTCAATGTTGCTGTCTCTTTTTCATTAACAAAAAGCGCTGGTGGCGGTCTAATAAGACTTTTATCGGTATTTCTGAGTTTCTTGTTTTGTTACCAATACTAACTAGCGGCAACACACACAACTTTACTAACATCTACATATTTGTGTGTGTGTTGTGTATGTGAGTATGGGCGAAGGTAAACCGGCCATTTGTGGCATACAAACACAAACACACACATTAACGCACTCACATACAACCCAACAGTCACGAAACAGTGGAATGTGCGTTGCTATTGTTGCTGTTATTATTGTTTTCTTTTTTGTGCTGTTGTCAACGGTTTTAGTTATCAATACAGACACGTAATATGTACATGCATCTATATTTATGTACATACATTCATATACAAATATACATATGTTCATATGTATGAGTATGTCTGTCTGTACCAATTATGCATATGAGTTTTCATTTAAACAAAAAACTAGCTGCAGTAGCATTTTAATTTCCGTTACAGACACACTTTTCTCTCGGGCTAAACTTTTTGGTGTCAATCACCCGTTCTTGTTTTCCTCTCCTCCACGTTGACATCGTTGCTATACAGTGCCATATATTTAAATAGGAATGTACAGTATACACTCAATAAAGTGATCAAGAAATGACAATCAGGCTCTTCAGGCAATTTATAAAAGTAACTAACAATGACTCCAATTCGAGAGGAGTCACAATTGAGACATAATGACATAATTATTAAATAAATATATGTGATCTTTTTTCGTTTAGCAACAAGTTAGAAATTTAAAAAGCCATTATCAATTTATTTCCAAACCATTCAGACTCCACATTTTATAAACAACAGAGACAAGACAAGTACATATTTCCCCATTTCCTTTGAGTTTCGCAAACGAAAACAATATACAAACAAATTTCTTATTTATATATTCCAATCAGAATTGCAGTGAGATTTACTTTGTAAAATGCCGTACTCCCTATTGGCAGAATAATGTGGGACTACTGTATTATTATTTACAGCTGATTTGCCAGCCATTGGCATTTTTTCACACGGTAGTCAGCAACCAAAACAACAACAAAAATAACAGCGGTCTTACAATTTACCGAATTCGCCGCGCATTTTCGTTTTCACGCTGCTTTAAAGATTGGCGCGCGCTCGTGTATGTGTGAATGGTGTTGGGGTGTGGGAAATTGTACCCCTCCCGCCGCCTCCGCTACATCTCTCACATGCGCAGAGATGGGCCAACAACAGCTGTTTAGGGTGTTTATTTCGCCGATGTTTATGTTCTCTAGCGGTTGCGGCGATGTTGAAGTCAGTCTGACTTCAACTTTCGTGTGCGTCGCAAGGACATGCCGCAAGGATAATCCTAGACTAGTCAACGCCGTGCCATGCCAGATCCCAAACCAGAATCTGATGCACAAGCTACACTCTCAGGCATATTGGACACGTTGCAGCAACGTACGTGCGTTTTTCAATTATTCAAGCTGAAAGCCGACGTGCAAACAGTTTATGGCTTTGTTGGGTAGCAAAAAAAAAAAAAAGCGAAAAAGAAAAGAAAAACGTAGCCAGGGAGAACATTGCAAATGCAGAAGAAGCATCAAATAAAACACACACACACGCATAAAAGACGAGCTATGTAAGTGGGTAGCAAGAAGAGCAGCAGAAGCAGCCGCTCATGTGGAAAAGTGCAAATGTATAAAATAAATAAAATAAAACTAGACTAATACAATGTACAAGTATACTATAAACATACTTACATACTATATACTCGTATATGTGTGTCTGCGGTTTATTTGCTTACCGCCTTAAATTTCTTTTGACTGTTGCTTTAGCGTTTAACCCTTTCCGCTCATATTTTTGTTGTTGTCTATTTCCCCCTTTCTTATTTGAATTGCATAAGTTTTTTCTAAGTTTTTTATTTTATTTTTGGTAACTAAATTTTCAATTTCGTTGTCTTTATTTGTTTGCAGATTAGCGCTTAAGCAGCAGAAGCAACAACACCAACAGCAACGACGACAACGAAAACCACAACAACAATAATATTAACAACAAGAAAGCAACGTGACGTAAAATTTTATAATAATAATTTATACGATAAGCCAAGTCCAGTCTAATCAGCTGCCAAAATGGAGTCCATGGAATACGAGATGGCACGCAACATGACGTTGCTCTTCTTTTTGGAACGCCTGCTGGACAAGGGAGAGCCGCGCACCGTGCACGATTTGTCCTGCCAATTTGGCAACAAGGAGTTCACCAAGGAGATGCGCCAGATTGCCGGTGGCAGTCAGTCCGGTGAGTGCAACAACAATCCTCATCCTACATATACATTTCTATTTCCTTTGCTTTTATGCCCACAATACTGTATGCTCATGTGTAACCTGAAACTTGTTAAGTGAAAACCAATCCATACCTGTCATATACACCATACATACATACACACATGCATGTGTACATATATGTATGATCCACCTGCAGGTCATTGTTGTTTGTTTTTCAACCGCAACAACACACGCACATACGAGTATGTATGTTTGTATGCTTGTGTTGGCTGCTGCATCGTTCGATTGACTGTTTTCTATTCAAGGGGCCAAGTCAATGCCACTATCAGTGTCGCCTAGGAGCCAACTATTACTACCACTGCCACTTATATACAGTTGCGGTCCAAATAATAGTACTGCCCTCATTTAAAATTTATGTACTTTTATTTCTTGATAATTTCAATAAATTTTCAGCTATTCAGAATTAGGTGATTATTATGAATATATATAATGCACTCTTCGCTGTAAAGGAATTTTAATTGCTTAAGCAATGCAAATATTTAGTATGTATAGTATTCCGCTCTTCCGCATGGAAAATTGATTAGCAAGATAGTGAGATATTCAGTTATAAATAAAAATCCGTTCGCAGATTCATTCGAAATAATTATCTGGTGGCAAGTCCAGGAAAAAACTTGTTAGCTAAGAAAAATATAATACCCAAGACGAATCCAATATGATCTCATTAATATAAAGAACTTAAATATATAATTACATAAGCCTACATTTGCATTTTGTCTCTTGTCATCAGAAATTTGTAGTTAGATGATTTGTTTCTTTCCGTAAAAAAAATAAATGAAATAATCAATGAAATGCTACTATTTTATTACTATACAACTATCGAATTTTTGGCCATTTTCAATCAGATTCCAAAATTTTTTTTAGACTTTTGTAAGGAAAATAAAACTTTTATTTTAAAATACATTGCTTTCCCATTACACATACAAGTAGTTAAAATAAATAATTAAAATGGATTTCAAAACGTTGTTTATATGTATGTATGTATATGTTTTACCCAAAATTGTGTTCTCCCATTTGTGTGGCCACCGCTGTATGTAGATCTGTGTGTGTGACAAGCAACCGCAAAAACAACTCATGGCTTTGTGTATGTTTTCTTATTGCGGAGCGAACCGAAAGAAACTGCAATCGATAATGCACGTGTTTTTCTTTATAAAATACACGCACATATGTACATATGTACATAATGTAATGCAGATGGATAAATAGTACGTATGTATGTGTGTGTTACGTATTATTTTACAGTTGCACTCAAGTGCTGCATTTAAAGAAATCATGTAAATACCGACATCCTCTTATATACTCGTACATATGTACATATGTAAGGTTTTAAAAAACAAGCTACACACACGCTGTCGGCAAACTCATTGACAAGTCGGCACGTAAATAGCAATAACAACAACTACAAAGCCATCAACAACTAAACAACTTCATTACAAATTTAAAAATAAACGCTCTCCTCCTTAAAAATATTCACTTTCCACTTTAAAACGGTGCAATGCACTTTCCCAACACACACACATACAATGCGTAGAGACCGCTTGCCACCAAAGGGAAATCCATTATCGTATAATTAGAAGAATGTTCCCGCAGGGGAACTTTTGACAGGAACAAGCATTGCGTGTAAAATATATTTTCTCACATACGATCACAATGACTTAAATACAAAGTGTTCGAAATTATCTCAAAATCTCTTCCGTCCATGTAGAAATAACAGTGATGAGACTCGTACAAAAATATTAGTTGTATATATGGGTCTGAAAACAATTTATAACAGTAAATGAATGGAATGCTAGACGATTGGCATTAGGAATGTATTCTAACTAACCGGATAAATTTCTCAAATTTGATCAAACACTTTTAAGAATTACCGGATGTATGAAAAAATCAGTAATAGCGGGAGAGTGGGGCTGCATCAAAAACATAAACTCAGACTTGTCCTTTTTTCAATCCTAGGATATCAAGCCTCTATTCTTTTCGAAATCCTTGCGCTCATACAGACAGTCGTCTTGTCATACTGATCAAGAATATATATACTTTATCAGGTTTTTTGATTTGATTGTTCGAATTTGATAATTCTGTTGAATTTATTTTATCTAGAAAAGTGTAGGAGCTATATATTTAATTTTATTTATTCAATTTGTTAAGTATTATATCTTTATCATTTGGTTATTAATAGGAACGTCTATTATTCCATTTATTGTATCGGTCCAAGATGAATTATGGTCTCTAATATTTAGGTAGTTTATGAAGCAGATGTAATAAGTTGTAGGATGGGTACTGCAGGAATTATCCACAACAGTGTGAAGTCTGGCGTTTTGGCTGTTGATTTTTGTTTTATTACTATATCATTTTCATGATCGGGACGTTCTTTAATCAGTCGCACTCGCTTAATTCAATGTGTAACCACATATTCTAATTAAAACATAATCTGTATCATATTTTTAGTTGGATAGTAATGTGCAGAGTGTTCCATAGTCGAGTGCTATCGATTAAAGCCTCATATGACATATTTTATTCCATTTCAGCGTTAATAACTGATTTTCCAAAACAAATACGTGACGCACATTTAATTGCAAGATAAAAGTTTAACAAATTTGCGTGACTAAAAGGTGAGAGACATAGGTGTTTAATGTGTTTCTTGCAAGGGGAAATTCTATTCATGGTATAATTTTATATAAATGCTTGTTTAAGCATTTAGAATATACGCCAAACACGCGAGTTGGGTGTGTAACCTAATGAATACTATATGTGGGGTAAACGTTCATTGCCAAGGCTGAACATAAATAAGTATTAATAGAACCAAATAGGAAGAGAAAATAAGTTAAACAAGGCATTAAAAGATTATCTTATCTCTGTCCAATTAGTAATATGTCATTATTGGAAACTATTTTAGTTTATATAGATATCTCCTTTTAAAATTCGTAATTTATATGTTTCTTAAAGTTATTCTAGACAACAAAAATATTTAAAGAATAGGCTCGCTTCTCAGAGATTTAAAATATACCCATGAATGGGTCAATTGATGTTACCGATTTTTTTGACGGAATAACAGCTCACTTCCCACTTCGAAGAAACACCTGAAATATCCCGTCTTAAAAGGGCTAGCTCCTTGGACAAGAGTTCCAAGAAGGGTACTTTTACCAATTTTGATTCCTTATAATGTGAATCGAACTTGGAAATGGAAACAGATTTTTCTTAGTTAACTTAATTTCCAATTATCATGACTGATTTGCAGACTTAATGGTTAATTAGTAAAATATGTATTTTCTAAAACTTTCTTAACTTGAAGCGTTCTTTCAAATCTTAAACCAAATATTGGGTCACAGATTGTAATAGATTAACTCATTACACCACAATTAACTACAAGTGCTTGCAGCGTTTTAATTGAAATTAGCCCTCGGCGATTGTGATTGGCTGCAAGCACCTTATTTACATGCAGTATATAAGCCTGCATGTAAAAAGAGCACTATGCAATGCGTGCGCATACATGCTCACATTTTCTGGCTTTGATGCGCAGAACCTCCAAATATGAATACAGGAAAGGTCAGGCACACAGGCAATTGGTACGAATATCATGCAAAAATTGGACCAATAAATCTCTATGTCGACATCTCGTCAAAACGAGTCGGCTTGTCGGCTTGTCGGCTCGTCAGTTGTCTGTGGCAAGTGCGTGCGCAGAAATTAAGAGGGGTTGGTCGAATTGTTCATTTTCATATTAGTATATAATGTGCACCAGTGTTTCCCACTCTTAACATTAATCACCATGTAATGGCGAACGGAACAGTACATGGTGTCAGCACACTATACTTATAATGCATAACTTTTGATTGGCTGATGTCAACCGAAAGGTTTTGAACACATGTTCAGTATTTATATTTAGATTGCAAACAAGAGAAAATGTTGTTTTATGGGCAACCTACAATTATGAGAGATGAAAATTGTGGCACATTGTTGCTATATAAAAAATCTGCAGCATCGAATTTGCATGCTAGGCACCAACAAGGGATGTACTGCAGACGAATTGCAACACAATCGGATGTTCAAATTAGACCATACGTGGAAACCAAACCGAAAAGACGAGTTAAGTTCCTTAAAGGCGTCGGTCCAAGTTACTGTTCCAGGTGTTGAAATCCAAAGTGGGCATCCTTCGTGCCTTTCATAATTATAAGTGGCTCCTAAATGGATATCAAGGATCAGAGAACGAGGAGCAGAATTCTATGCACCATGGACAACTTTTGCTTATACTCGTATCAGTCCATCCAGTTAAGTAAAACGATATAATGGCTTTTAGATGCTATAGTGAAATATTCAGATGTTTGTTTACATTGCATATTTGAATTTTGCCGCTGGAGAAAGGAGGAACATGTAGAGAAAAAATTTATCAAAATAAAAAGGTGAAAGGAGGAAGGTTTTTGGTAACTGCCATAGGAACAATTTATTACAATATCCTAACAAAAATTAGTATTTTTGACAATTCTATAATGTCTCACCATAATCTTCAGAATAACTAAAACATCATAAAGCTATTATATAGTAGGAACAGTATGTGTAGAAATCAATATTAGTATACTTTATTTTAGTTGAATGGTTCTTGCAGGGTCACGGTTCTGTTTCTTTTTATAGCATGACTAAATCGAAATGCCTAGTTCTAACTCTAGTGTTATTTCCTCAACAAACAGCGTATACAGTAATATAAAATTGGCCGATTTTTGTTTCAGTACATCTTGAACATGTTCAACGACCGATTTTATGGCGAACAACATTTTACAACTTTTAATGCAATAGACAGTTCAATCGATAGCTCTACCTAAAACCATATTTTAAGATGAAAGAAAAGTCTCCGGTCCTCCGAAAAAAAAAACATCTTGCAAGACTCTAACCACTGAGTCGACATGCCAAAAGTCTCAGAGTCTGACCGTACCTTTAAGCTTTGTACATATAAATAATAGGCTGTAT